ACGCACTGGAGCCTTCGGCGGAGCTCCCTATGTGGCCACAAAACGTGTGAGGAGTGTGCCGAGATGCGGGTGGATCCGCATGCGAACGCAGCTAATGGGGCTTTCGGTGGAGCTTCCCTATGGGCCACGAAACGTGTGAGGGGTGTGCCGAAATGGGCGTGAAACTGCATGCGACCGCAGCCATTGGGGCCTTCCGAAATGGGGGTGTAACCGCATGCGAACGCAGCCACTGGGGCCTTCGGTGGAGCTCCCTATGGGGCCACAAAACGTGTGACGAGTGTGCCGAAATAGGCGTGGAATCGCATGCGAACGCAGCCACTGGGGCCTTCGGAGGATTCCCTATAGGGCCACGGATCGTGAGAGGGGTGTGCCGAAATGGGGGTGAACCCGCATGCGACTGCAGCCACTGGAGCCTTCGGTGGAACCCCCTACGGGGCCACGAAATTGGGGTGGAACCGCATGCGAACGTAGCCGCTGGGGAATTCGGTGGAGCTTCCTATGAGGTCACAAAACGTGCGAGGGGTGTGCTGAAATAGCGGGTCGAACCGCATGCGAACGCAGCCACTGGGGCCTTCGGTGGAGCTCCTTATGGTGCCACGAAGCGTGTGAGTGGTGTGCCGAAAAGGGGGTGGAACCGCATGCGGACGCGCCCACTGGGGCCCTTTTAGCTGTGTGCCAGGCTCGCGCGGCGCGAACTCAGGTCAGAGCAGCCGCGCTATCGCGTCCGCGGGCACAGGCGGCAGGCGAACGCCTTGGGTCAGGGAGCAGCGTGGCAAAGGAGCGAACGGCCAAAAGGCCACCCACAGCCACACCGCCGTTCCCCCCGTCAGTGAGCCTGCGCCCTTGGCTGCGCCTCTTTCGGCGGCAGCCCCATCCTGATCCTTGGGATCTTCTCGAGGCGATGCTGCAAGCCTCGAGTGCTGCTGGGAAGCTTGCACTCTGCCGCTGCCAACCCACGGAACTTGCCGCCTACTACGCGAGCGTAGCAATGGCACCTGGTGCAAATGCGGTACCCATTGACCGTGGCCAGCTGGTGCTCACCGCTGGCCACGCCAGGGACTTCAGTGCCATCCACTCCGTGAACGGCTCTGGAAGCCAGAGCCTCTCCAGCAGGGTGCGAATTGTGATGGAGTCGCCCTTGTCCAGGAACCGCTCCATCTCGGTGGGGAGCGCGGAAGCGGGCCGCGACATTTGGCATTCCAGGTGACGGTGCCAGAGCGTGCCCAACTCGCCAGGGCGCAGCGAGCAGACCGAGGACGAACTGAGGCCAGCGGCACACCGCCGTTCGTTGAGCAATTGGCCGTCAACGAGGCATGACCTGGCGTGCCCCGCTTCGCTCGGTGCAAGCGAGCGCCACTGCCTGGCGATCTTGGTGGGTCCTCGTCCCGTCGTGGCCCACCGGCGCACCTGCGGTAAAAAGACGCCTCCTGTTGCATGAGTGTCCTGGGGCGTCGGCTGCGCCAACTGAGCAAGCAGCTTAACGGTCCAAGGCGAGCTCGTCGCCAGGTTGAGCTGCTCGCCCGCATCTGTGAGCCAGCGCGCGAAGGAAGTTGGACGTGGAGCCGATCCTAAGGAGCGACATGACAGCAGCGCCGGACGGCCCTCGCGCGTCACCCCAACGCATGGCGACGCAAACGTTCCACCCGAACGTGCTCTGCAGGATGGTGTTCGGGACCCACTTCTCCCTCGCCGCTGCTGCTGGCATCATGACTGGCCCCAGGGTCGCCGCGAAGATCGGGTCGAGCGTCTTGGGCCCGGCCAGCGTCAGCACCGCCGTGGCGTTCTTGCCTGCGGGCCGCTGCTCCGCCGCGCGCAGCGTGATCGACCCCATCTTGACCAGGTCGCTGTGGTTGAGGCCTGTGCAGTTGACCCCGAGCATGGCCGAGGGGTGGAGTCCCGTGAACGCCGCCTTGGCCGTTGCCGCGCGCCCTCGACGCGGGCCCAGGAAACTCCTGACTTTGCCCAGGCGCAACTTGACGTTGGCGATCCGCTGCTGCCTGAGCGCCCTGGCTGCGCGAAGGCCTGCCGCGCGGTCGATGCCCTGGTTGCGCGCGTGCCGAGCCCCCTGCGCACCGGCAAGGTTGAGCAGTTGGCTGCTCTCCTGCCTACGCGAACGCCCTGTGCTGGCCAGCACCTTCGACTTCTTGATACTTGATTGCAGCCTTGAGCTTGACAGGCAAGAGCTGGTCTACGAGGAGACGAGTGGCGGCGGCCAGGTCGCCCCGAACCCTCTGGGCGCCGTCCCGCCGCTGGAGGGCCAGATCGCCCACCACGATGGCTGAAGTGACGGCCCCGAACCTACGATCAGGAACGATTGCCTAGCGTGTATTTGGGAACGCCGCCTATGCGCGCTAAGTCCTCCGCACTTAGCGCGTAAACGGCTTGGGTGATACTTGGCGTGTCGGGGATTGGCGCGTGCTTTGGCGGCGAGAGAATGCCTTGCCATGCTGCTGCTCGCACATGCGACCGGGCATGTGTTTGCTGCCGCCTTTGGCGGCTCCTTCTGTGGATTGCTGTGTGTGCCAGCGTGGCGAGTTGCGTGATCGCTGCGTTTTTTTTTGTTTGCTATGCTGTGCGCTCTTGGCTGCACTTGGCATGTGTCTGTGACTGTGTTGCTAGCTCGCCTTCAGTGGAGTCATGCTCATATTCATCAGCATCCTCATAACCGTCGGACGGGGTGGGGCGCGCTGCGTCGCGCGCCTGGCAATCCCGAATGGGCGCCCCGCGCAGAATTCCCATCTGTTTCCCCCGCTTACAGCGGCGTTCCGTTCACGCTTCATGGCGTTGACTTCGAAGGTCGGCTTGGGGGGCTCGCGCGTCCCGCAGGCCCCGCGCATCCCGCAGGCCCCGCATTCCCAGCGGACAGCGCGTGCGGCGCGATGGGGATACCCAGACACGCTTGAGTGCACGTAGGCCCCCCAGGCTCCACAGGTGTCGCAGGTCTCGCAGGCCCCACATGCACCGCGGGCCCCACGGGCCCCACATGTCGCACAGGTCTCGCAGGTCCCGCAGGTCCCACAGGACCCACGGGCCCCACAGGTCCCGCAGATTCCACACAGCCCACTAGTTCTACAGTCCTCGCAGGTCCATGATGTCCAGCGGATGGCGCGCGCGGCGCGCCGGGGATCCCCGGACGCGCTAAGTGCAGGTCGGGCCCCAATGTCCCACAGGTGTCGCATGTCTCCCAGGTCCCACGGGTGCCTCAGATCCCACGGGCCCAAGACTGCGAACAGGTGTGTCGCACGTCGCGCAGGTCTCACACGACCCACACTCCCACTGGTCCCGCAGGCCCCACGCGTCCCATAGCTCACCCAGGTCCTACAGGTCGTACAGATTCCTCAGGTCCCTCAGGTCCCACAGAGCCCACTAGTCTCACAGGTCCCCAGGTCTCGAGGGGCCCCGCAGGTCCTTCATGTCCAGCGGATGGCGCGCGCGGCGTGCCATCGGTCCCCAGATTTGATCGGGTCCGCTCGGACGCCCATGCGAAGGCCAATGTGTTCATTGGGGCCATCTTGATTTCTGTCGAGGCGCGCGCGAGCTGCGATGGCGACGCCGGCGCGCGCCAGGGGTAGCGCAGGTGCGCCGCTCCATTGCGGGCCGCCGTTGGTTCGATGCGGATTGGGCGCCATTTGGACTTGTATCTGTTCCATGTGACCCCAAGTTCGTCTCGATGGCTCTCCCATTGTGTCGGCTCGGATGCGAATTAGATTTGGTTCAATGCCCCTGGGTCGCACGATGGTTCATGAAATTGCAAATGCGCGCGCATTTCCAATATTTTTCTTATTATGCTCCATAGCGCATTGATAACATTTCAAAGCGAGAATATTGAAACTCCCAGGGTCGATGTCGCGCTTTTTCGACGGCCGCGGGCGGCTTCCTGCCGAGTTCGTTGCGCCGATCGCGGCAGAAAGATCAGGCGCCGCCCCTCCCCCAAGCCCCCCAACCATGAAGACGCGAGAGAGAGAGAGAGAGAGAGAGAGAGAGAGAG